AGCCATGACAATGTAACATGTAGGCTCGACACGTTACTCACTAGCACACATTGCCACCATTGCCCTTGGGCCACAGGGCAGATGTGAATTTAAAGAAAGATCACGCATTTTCCATATCACATTCTAGGTTGGGATTGTCGACGAAGCAAAGTTATATTTGCTATAGTACTTGACGACATTACTTTATTCGTTATTGAGTATGTTTTCTAGACTACCAGCATTTCAGTTATATGAAATATATTCAAACTATTTCGTTTACGGTGATGAGAGACTGATGAATACATCACATATATTTGATTAACAGGTAGTTTCGAAAACGTACTTAATAGAGAAAAGACTAATGTAATCGATTGTGATAGCAAATATAACTTTGCTTAATCATCAATACCAACACAGAATGTGATATGGAAAATACCTGACCTTCCTTGAAATTCATATCTGCCCTGTGACCCAAGAGCACTCGTGGCAATGCAGCGTAGTGGTTAACGTGTCGAGAGTACACACTGAACTATTATGGTTCGAGTCCTGCTGGGGGTGTTGATAAGACCTAGGCGAGGTCAAAACGGCAGTCCAACCTGGATGGGAACAAGGCTATATGAAATTCAGTGGAAACGTCAGATCTACTCATATCCTTGTGGGAAAATTCAACTACCAGTCCCTCATCACCTTAAACGAAATAGGGCGTATACATCCCATATATCTGATTAAATGATAGTCACAAAAACATATTTATTAATAAAAAAATTCTTCGAGAGCATAAATCCACTTTGCACCTAGCTTGTCATCATCTGCTCTTCCAGCTAGACTTAGACCCAAAACAGACGGTCTTTAGGGTGACACACTTATTCCCAATATATTTTAGGCAAGGCATCTATGCTGGAGATATACCAAGAAAGTGATCATCTACTTGTCATTCAAAGGAACCGATTTAGATGTATCTTTTTCAACTAACGTTACACTACCAGTCATCTAGTGTCAGATAGATGGATAAATTTCTCTCTTCTTTGTGTTCCAAGGTGCAATCGGACCCTAATTGACCCGCCATTTTGAAGTTATGATTTTCACATGATACTGGTAAATACATCTGCCTCAAGCTGAAATTTAAGATCGCCCAGTAACTTGTTTGTCCTAGAACTGTGGACTTCAGGAGGTAAGGCATATTCCTCTGGATGCATTTGTCCTGTGCCAAAAATACCAATCTGGTATGGGAGTTTTTCCCACTATGATATGAATGGGTTTTACGATGCTATTTAATTTCAC